CTTTCCCTTGGCAGCTGGAAGATTTATGCCCCCGGCTTCCCCCGCATGGTGGACGTCAGCAGCTTTGAGGAGATGGAGTCAGACAAGAAATTTGCTTTGACCAAGACGATACCTTGTGCAGACCAGGATGACAGGTGAGGGCAAAGGCTTGGGAAGGAGGTAGAGACAAGCAAAGTGGAGGGTTTATTGGGAGGATGGGCCCAGCAGCTCAGAAAGAGGAATGAGGAGGGAACCAGCAGTTAGTGTAATGGCTATGTCGCTGGACTCCCATGTAGTCGACCATGGTTTGCGTCCCGGACCTGGTGGCTTGAAACTCATGCCGGGCGCATGTGCGTGCGTGCCCAAGATCCCGAGAGGAGAATGGAGGAGAAGGGATTGCGGCGTGGCCATTCTCCCTGGGGGGTGATTTCTCGCTTTCTGTCTCTCTGTCTCTCTCTGTCTGTCTGGTGAGCACACATGCCCTATGGCAAATACCTCTCCAAAAAAAAGAAAAAAAAAAAAGAAAGAGGAGTGAGGGTCTATAACAAGTACATTTCATTCATGTGTTAGGAGCAAAGATGGGGGGGGCAGGGAGATGGTCCCCAGAGGCCAGGCAGAGAGGGCCAGAAAGAGGAGATGGTTTTAGGTTAGGAAGAGAGAAGGCAGAGGAGGGGCCGGCAATGAGGGAGACCTGGAGACTCTGAGGGCAGGACAGAGGGGAGGAATTGAGGGGAGTGGCCTGTGGGTTCCACTGACTGGTTTCCGTCCTTCTACTTTCCACACTTGCAGCAGTGGGAATCGGTACCTGCCTGGCTTCCCCATGAAAATCGACATCCCATCCCTGCTGCACATGGAGCCCAATATTCGCTACTCAGCCACCAAGACGGCCTCGCTGCTCTTCAATGCCATCCCCGCGTGAGGCCACTGCCCTCTCTGTTCCTGCTCACTGTCCCTCTGCTCGATGTTTTTCTTTCCTTTCGTTTTCTGTATTTATTTATTTATCAATAAGAGAGTTATTTTATTTTTTATTGTATTAATTTGCTGTAGGGTGCAGGCCTTCGTCAGAGAGAGATGGGGTGAGTAGTGAGAAAGCACCCCCCGGGGGGATGGGCAGGCTGCAATCCCTTCTCCTCCATTCTCCTCTTGGGATTTTAGGAACACATGTCCAGCATGTTTTTCAAGCCATTGGATCTGAGACTTGAATGTGTAGTCAGCCATGTCGGGTCCGACTGCCTTAACAATGTCTGACCATAGGAGGACCCTTCTGCCTCAGCCCCTCCGCTGGCTAGGACCACAGGCACACACATCACATCTCTGCCCCCAGTCCTCTCTCTGCCTCCCAGACTCCTCCCCTCCCTGCCCCGCTTTCTCCACCATCTCCTGGCCTCTCAGTCCTCCAATCAACCTGCCGGCATCTTCTCGTTCTCCCCTCCTCTTCCTCATTCTTCTCTCTGCCCCTAGTCTCCTTTTCTCTTACCTCCTAGTCTCCCCCTTCTTTGCCCCTCAGGCACCCCTCTCTCTCATTAAGCCCCCCCATTTTCTGTCTCCCCATCACCTCCTCTTTGCTCCTTAGCCACCTCTTCTCTCTCCATCACTCAAACCAACACAATTAACTGAGCACCTACTGCGTGCAGAGCATGGTCCCAGGTGCTGTTGATGGGACCAGATTCAGTAGGACAGTGAGACCCAGTCCTTAAACTTTAAGGAGATGAAGTCAGGCCACCTCAGGTTCAAATCCCAGTTGTGTGACCTTGATTTTCACTTGGTCTAAACAGTCTTCTTACTTGTGAAATGACAATAGTGTTTACACCTTCCTCACAGGTTTTGAGGATAATTTGATGATATACCAAATAGTCTTTCCATGGATATTATTTAGCAACAATACTAGGACGTAGTCTCTGACCATGAGGAAGCCACAGCATCACTGAGGAGGCATATGGGCAGTTCATTAGCACTTGGAGGGGTCATTAGCAGCTGCAGTCACCAGCCAGGACACTAAGTGTGATGGGGCTGGAGTCCATTTAACTCTCCTGGGTACCTAGACAAGAGAGAGGTTAGCTGGGGTCAGTGGGTGGCTCCTGTTGTCAAATCCCGTCAGGGACAGTGAGCCCACCACTTTAGCAGGAGACCTGAGCAGTGGCTGCATGAGGCAGCTGGGAGGAAGGTGGGGGCAAGGAACTGGATCCCCATCTGGGCCTCTGTGGAGAGGGAGTCTGAAGAGGGTGTGGTGGGCTTGGGGAGTAGGCTGGGAGCTGAGTGTCTGAGAGAGAAGGTGCAGGCAGCCACAGATGGCTTAGATTTTGGGACTGGAGCCTGCCAAGAGCCCCAGGCAGGGCTGAGGGGTCAGAGGAGCACCCAGGACAGTGGGTCAATCGAGTCAGTTCCACATGGATCTGCAGGTCTAGACAGAGGAAGTCCAGGAGTTGCTGGACTCAGAGAAGGGCCCGAGGGAAGGGAGCTGGTATCTGAGAGCCGTCCAGGCATGTATGGAGAGAAGGGGGCGAGTTTGGGTTTCAGTTGGGTGACTGCAGGGCGTTCTGAAGGATGTTTGTGGCAGACCCTTTGAAAGAGACCTTTTCTTTCTCCTGTATCTGCCTCCTCAACCTCTGCTTTCATGATCGAGCCCCTGCCCAGTTTTTCCTATCTCCTGTTTCTTCCTTCCTTCCTTTCTTTTTCTTCTTTCTCATTCTCTTTCTTTTTCTTTCTTTCTTTCTTTCTTCTTTTTTAGTTTATTTATTTCTTCCGTGAAAGAGAAAGAAAGACAAATACCCTCAACAAGGTCTCACACCATATCCCACCCCCACCTCTCTAGCCAGCCAGGATGGCAGATGCACACGGCCCGTGTGTACCCGTTCTCACTAAACCGAACCCTCCACTTTCCACGTGGCGTCAGCAGTGCTTCATCAGCCCTTTACCTCAGTGTCTCCGAGCCATCTTTACAAAGCCTGCTTCGCCCACCCAGTGCCACAAACCCACCACCCCCTTTCCTTTGGTTCAGCCCATGTAGCCAGTGCTTATCAGCAGGGCGGGCTGGGCCTCAGAGCCAAGTCCTTGTCCTAAGGAGCGCATGGAGTGATGGGGGACGGTATGGCACACTGGGTTGCAGTGTAATGCAGAGAATGATGAGGGCTTTATTTTTCCAAAGCTTCCCCCAAATTTTTTTGGAGAAAATCTATCAAATAAAGGGCTTTGCACTAAGAAATGTCTAGAAGAACAGACTATATATTAGGTAGAGGTGTAGAAGATAGCTTCCTAGGATAGGCCTTCAGAGGGGGGGAAGGCTGTCTTAATTTCAAGCTTTTTTTTTTTTTTTTGGAGAGATTTTTGCTACAGGTCATGTTTGCTCACTGGAGAGACAGAGAAAGACGGAGAGATCACTCCCCAAGGGGGCTGGCCATACCGCAATCCTTTTTCCCCATTCTCCTCTCATGATTTTGGGTATGTACTTACATGCACCCGGGGGGAGTTTTAAGACACCGGATTCAGGACTTGAACCATGGTCAACTATGTGGGAGTCCCGTGACGTAACCATTATGCCATCTGCTGGTCCCTCAAGCATTTTATTTTTTTTTATTATAAAATAATGCTCACTGTATGGCCAGCAGGTGGCATGGGGGTTAAGGTGCTGGATGCCACATGACGTGCTTCATAGTTCAAGTCCCAGACTTGACGGCTTGAGACTCATGCCGGACACATGTGCATGCAAGCCCAAAATCCTAAGAGGAGAGTGGAGGAAAAGGGATTTCGCCATGACCACCCTTGCTAGTGGTGATTTCTCATTATCCCTGTCTGCTTCTCTCTGGCAAGCACATGCGCCCTATAACAAAAACTTAAAATTAAAACCAAAGTGATGACTGTAAAATGCTTCAAACAGCAGACACTGTGAAGTGAAGCGTGCACACCCCTCAGCCTGCCAGCCTCTTCTCCCAGCGCAGTGCACAAAGTGCACCTCTGGCTTTGGCTGGTGCACAGGGTGGGAGAAAAAGCTGGCAAGGTTGGGGAAAGCCATTGGTGGGGAGCTCCATGGGCTGTCAGTGGAGGCTCTGACCTTCCAGCAGAGGGGAGCCATAGACCTTTGTCTATGGCAAGATGGAAACTTGAAGAAATCAGGCAAACACCAGGGAGGGTGACTAGTCTGCACCATAGGCCATGTGAACCACCTTTGCACACACGTGTGGTTACTACCACCACCCCTCGCCCTAGGATGGGTGCATTTGAACCAGAGACTCCTGAGGCTGCAGAGTCTCAAACAGGCCCTCGACTTTTCTCCCTTGTGGGTGGTTAGACACCTCTGCTCTGGGGACTGACTGTCAGCTTCCTCTAGGCTGAGGCGCAGTGGATGCCGGCAGAACCCAGGCCCCAGGCCCCAGTGCCCAGCTCCCACTCTGATCTTCCCTCTCCCCCGTCCTGCCCTCAGGTCCTTAGGCATGAAGCTTCGAGGGCTGCTGGACCGCAAGGGCTCCTGGAAGAAGCTGGATGACCTGCGGAACATCTTCTGTTTCCACAAGACCTTCACTACAGGTGTGCAGAGCCAGGCAGAGATGCCTTCACCTTACCCGATGCTCAGACACTTTCTTCCCCTTCCTGGGAAAGGCCCAGATGGCTAGATTTGAGTGGGAGGCGCTTTCCATTTCACTGGTGATAGCTTTTAAATTTCTCTCAGGAACACAGTCACCCCCACTGAGGAGGGGACAAAATAGAGAAGGACAGAGAAACACTGCTGCCTGGGAGAGGGTCACGGTCATTTAGGGAGTTGTGATCCTGACTGGGAACACACAGCGTCCATCCCCTCCTCCTATTACAAAGCACTCTGCACTTTGGGGCCAGAAAGGCATAGGTTCAAAGCCATGCTCTGCCACTCACCTGGGTAAGTCACTCCATCTCTCTGACCCTCAGTGTCTAGTATTAAATTGAAGATATAATATATATATAAATTGAAGATATAATACACCTCCCTCACAGGGCTGCATTGGGAAACCTAAACCATAGTGATGAGCAAACAGCTGGGCATGATCAAGACCTAGGGAAATAGTTTCTGCATCAACTGGCTCCCTCTCTTGTCCCCCCTCCCCACTAGAATATGTCAAGGAGCACTGGCATGAGGATCGCTTCTTTGGGTACCAGTATCTGAATGGTGTCAACCCTGTCATGCTCCACTGCATCTCCAGCTTACCCAGCAAGCTGCCCGTCACCAGTGACATGGTAGCCCCTGTGCTGGGACCAGGCACCTGCCTGCAGACAGAACTAGAGGTGGGTGAGCACATCGGTAGTGGGTCTGATGGAGGGATGTGCGTGAGTGGTTCCTCTGGATAAGGGAAGTGTGTGGAAGGGAAGGCAGAATGCCCTGGGCTGTCCCACCTGTGGCCTCATTCTCTGGGGTCTCTCTATCTCTTAAGTAGAACAGATATGGGTGAGGGCCAGAATGCACTGGGAGTGGTTTGAGGCCCAAGCTGAAGCCCGCTAAAATGGTATGAAGGAATAGGGCAGCCACAAGGATAGTTTGAAGGAGGCCTTGCTTCTGTTCTGGGGCCTCCAAGGGGCTGAGGCCTGTGGAAGGCTCTTTTAGGACAGGCCAGTGACAGGGCCACAGGATATAGGAGGACTGAGAGCCCTGAGGGAGTGGCAGTAGATGATGGCCCAGTCTCTCTGGGACAGCCAAGTCCTTAGGCATTTCACGGAAGGCTGGGGATGTGACTAGTTAATTCTCATAGAGTGTCGGGTTTGCTGTCGTTGGATACATGGAGGTCAGCTCTCAGAAGGGGATTCCATCAGAGTAGGGAGAGTAGGAAGGGCCTGGTATGGGGTGAGGAGGAGGGGACGCTGCTTGTCCAAATCAGGAGACCAGGTGAGGGGTTGCACAACGAGGGACTCAGCCAGACCTCATTCCGCACATTCTGGGAAGGGTGGAGTAGCCAAGGCCGGCTATTAGCTCAGGTGCCCTGAATTACTGAGGCCTGAACTGGGACCCTAAGCTCTTCCTCGGGGTGGAAGTGGGCTGAGAGCAGAGAGGGAAGCAGAGAGCTGGAATTGGGGACACACCAAGCGTCTCTGCCTCTTCCCCAGAGGGGGAACATCTTCTTAGCGGACTATTGGATCCTGGCGGAGGCCCCGGTCCATTGCCTCAACGGCCACCAGCAGTACGTGACCGCCCCGCTGTGCTTGTTGTGGCTCAACCCCCAGGGGGCGCTAATGCCCTTGGCCATCCAGGTAAGACAGGAGCCGGGCTTTCGGGAGTGCAGACTCAGCAGTGGGCAATAGGTTTTGGGTTTCATCCCTCATTCCCCTCGATGCAGCTCAGCCAGACCCCTGGGCCAGACAGTCCCATCTTCCTGCCCACTGACTCTGATTGGGACTGGGTGCTGGCCAAGTCGTGGGTGCGCAACTCTGAGTTCCTGGTGCACGAGAACAACACACACTTTTTGTGCACTCACTTGCTGTGCGAAGCCTTCGCCATGGCCACGCTGCGCCAGCTGCCACTCTGCCATCCCATCTACAAGGTCTGTGTAGACCCTGGGACCAAATGGGCAGGGCCCAGGAGGTCGCTTCTGTTCTTTGGCTCACGTGACCTTGCACCACTCGCAGCTCCTGCTTCCCCATACTCGCTACACGCTGCAGGTGAACACCATTGCGAGGGCCACACTGCTTAACCCTGAAGGCCTCGTGGACAAGGTGAGGCCTCCCCGCCTCCGCCCTGAGGGCGGGTCCCTGAGGACAAGCCTATTCCACCATCCCTGCAGCCTCCTCTGGCAAGCCCCGCCCTGCTCCCCCAGCCACCTACTTGCCCCTCCCATAAGCCCAGACACGCCGGCCAATCCTGCACGTGGTCCCACCCTCTCAGTCTGAGGTGCCCCGCCCCGCAGCCCAGCCCCAGCCCCGCAGCGCTGCGCTCAGCTGACCCAGCGCCCAGCTCTGCCCTCGCGGCTTTCAGTTCACTTCTTCAGTTACCAAATACCTAAGGATCTCCTAGGCATGAAGTAGGGCTGCCACCCATGCAGCCCGCATCATGCGGACCCCTATGGGTGTTCAATCTGGTGTAGTCGTGAATTGCTTGATGAACAGAACTGGCCCCTCCCTGGGCCGAGACTCTAGCTCCATCTCTTCACCAGGCACTGGGGTGGGTTGGGGCCGGCCCAGGGGCGGATCTGTGCTGTGTCCTCAGGTCACGTCCATCGGGAGGGAAGGCCTCATCTACCTCATGAGAACCGGTCTGGCCCACTTCACCTACACCAATTTCTGCCTCCCGGACAGCCTGCGGGCCCGCGGTGTCCTAACCATCCCCAACTACTACTACCGAGACGATGGCCTGAAGATCTGGGCGGCCATTGAGAGGTGCAGCCTGGAACCCTGCAGCCCTCTGGCCCCACCAGGAACCCCTGGACGTGGGCAGTGTGGGCTCCTGTGCTTGTGGGCTTGGGGCTGGGGATTCTACAGTGTTCTCAGACTCCAGCATATGGAATTCCCTGGGGCATGGATTGAGGTTGGGGTGCCCTGTGAAATGGCAGATATTGTGGTCTAGAGGGGCTGGGGAGTGTGTGAGCGCAGTGTAAGTAGGAGGGGTGACCAGAGGAGTCAGTATTAGGGCTGGTGCAATAGCTGAGCATGGGCTGTGGCCCCCAGCTCGCAGGGCTCCTCCCTCCAGGGTGCTGAGTGGGGAGGAGGAGGATGCAGAAAGAGTCAGGCTCTCCTCTGGGCACTTTCCCCCTAAGCCCCTGTGCAGAAAGAAGGCCCAGGGCACCCATGACTCAGGAGTAGAGGTGGGACTTAAGGGAAGCCTGGGTACTCAGTGCCATCTGGATCTAGGGCCTTGCTGAGCCCCCATGGACTCCCAGAAGCTCTGGCCGTCTGCTTCGACCCAGCCTGGGTGTCAGCGGGCCTTAATTTTCTGGCCAGGCCTAAGCCCAAGGTGACTCTAGTGGCACCAACATCTCTTTCTTGCAGCTTCGTCTCAGAAATCGTGGGCTACTATTACCCCAGTGATGCGTCTGTGCAGCAGGATTCGGAGCTGCAGGCCTGGGTCGGCGAGATTTTTGCTCAGGCGTTCCTGAGCCGGGAGAGCTCAGGTAACCCATCTCCACCTCCCCACCACAGGCTTTTAATGATCCAGCCCTCGCCCCCTGCCCCTGATAAAACAGTTGTATTTATTGACCAGCCTTTGAAGGATGCGTGGTTACTATACCACGTAGCAGGTGGGGAAATAGGTGCAGAGGAACCAGCAGAGGCTGGAGTCAGAGCCAGCTCTGAGGGGCTCCAAAGCCTTTGCTTCAGCCACTGCAGTGCGCCCCTCTGGTCCCTTGACCATTACACAAACCCGTCTGGTCACTTCAGGGATAGGAGCATCTCACCTTCAAAGGACTGTGGAACCTTCTTTCATCCCCCGTCGTGTTGGTCTTACCAGGTAGACCCTTCCGCCACCGAGCTCTCTTCATTTCTCTTGGCTGCAAACCTCTTCACGGAGTGGGCTGGTCCCGCTGCTGCCTGATTCCTCATCTACTCGTCACCTACCTCAGCTCTCCTCTCTCCTCTGACACTGCCTGGGGGCCCTCTGAGAACACCCACCCCAGCGATCCTCTTCCCCCCAGCCGACTTGCTCTAACCTCAGTGCCACACAGATGCCCCAGTCCACTTCTTGCTTTACTTTCCCCTTAGCTCCAGGGAGGACATGTCCCGGATCTCTGCCTCCCCTCTCTATCCCTCCCTAATGGAATGAGTCTTTCTTCTGTTTCTCTGTCGCTGGTTTCCAGGCTTTTCTTTTTGGCATTTTATTGCCACCCTTAAGAGCAGCACACAAACACGACAGGTCACTCCATTTGTAGAGTGGCCTTGCCAGGGGTGTATGCTCTGTTGTGATCTTCATTGCCCAGGGTGATGTAGGCTGACCTCCAGGCACTCACAGGTGCCAGAGACACCTCTGTATCTGGGCAGTGGGAGAAAAGCTCAGAGGGGAACGCAGGTCCTTTAGTTCTCCCAGTCCTGGTCTGGGACCTCTCTCAATGCGGATGTGGCTTTCAGTTGACTTAGTGCTTCTGGTAACTACCTAGAGGAGATCCTTTTCCTTGGGGAGACCCAAAAAAAGGAATGGCCTCAGGTCACCTCCAAACAGGATGAATAGTTGTGGCAGCCTGCCTGAGATGGGCTCAGAGGTTCTGTTCTGTTCTGTTCTTTTCTTTTTAATTGCCAGAGGGTACATACACTTGTGAGAAAGAGAAAGAACCTCTCAACAGGGCATGGTCTTCCACAGTCTCTCTTCTTCCGTTTCTCTATCCTGTCAGGATTTCGGCCATGCACACATTTGAACCCCAACCTGGGCTTTGAACTGCCATCAGCTATGTGAGATCTGGCTCCCAGTGCATCATACTTTACCACTGCGCTACTAGGCTGGCCAATTTTTTTTTTTCTTTTGAACAAAAATTTTCAAGCATACAAAGTATAGCATAATGAATACCTATATATTCACCACTAGATTTGACCATTGCAAACATTTTGTCATATTTAATTAATCTGTTGCTTTTGTTTACTGCTGAAGTCTCTCAAATTATGTCATATATTACCCCAATCAAGATGTATTTTTAAAATAATTGTTTATTAATTTAATTTATTATTAATTTGCCCAGGGTGATGTGGACTTGAACTGTGGTGGGCCATGTAGGAATTCCAGTGCCTTAACCACCATGCTACCTGCTGGCTCAAGATGAACTTAAAAAAAAACAAAACAACTATTTAATTTTATTTATCATTATTAATATTTTTAAAATTTGCCACAGAGCATGTGAGTTTGCCAGAGAGAGCCAGAGAAAGAGGAATCGAGGGGAAGGTGAGAAAGCAAGCTGTCAGGTCCAGGACTCAAACCGTAGTCAGCCATATGGGAGTCCAGCACCTTCACCACTAGCTCCCAAAATGAATCTTAAACTATAATATTTTTCTACCCCGCTAACCACAATATTGTCATCATACTTAACAAAACTGACGATAATCTCCAATGTCGTCTTCATATCTAGCCTATAGTCAAATTTCCTCATTTATCTTGTTTTCCCCCAGTTGAGTCTATTCTTTCAGGTTACATAGCACTTTTATGTTTTGACTCTAAAGTCTCTCCTTTTTTAAAGTTTAATGATTTCTTACACGAGGGAGGCAGAAGCAGAGAGAGAGAGAGGCACCCACCAGTAGGGTCTTTACTCTCCACCCCCAGACTCAGCCAGCCTGGATCACAAGCACATGCCCAGGGTGTCCGGGGAAGCCCTAGGATGCAAACCTGGGACCTTCTCATGTGGGTCCAGCCGCATTACTGCTGTGCCACCAGCTGGCCCCTAAAGCCTCTTTAACTTAACACAATGCTCTTCCCCTCTGCTTTTTAAAATAGCATAACATGGACTTATTGAAGAGCCTGGACTTCTTCTCCCTTTCGCATTGCAGAATGTCTCACCATCTGAATTTATCTAATTGCTTCCTTGTGATGTCATTTGCCTTGTTCCTCTGTCTCCTGTGTTTTCTATAAACCAGAAGTACTATCTAAAGGTTAATGTTTTGGGCAAGAATACTTCTCAGGTGAGGCTGCATCCTCTGTATTGCATCATGTGGGGACGCACATAATGGAAGGTTGTCTCACTGCTAGTCATGCCCAGAGTGGTTTCTGGGTTAAGGTGGTGGCAGGCAGATCTCTTAGGTATTTTAAAGGGTGACCCTGTGAAGGGGGTAGGCAGTTCTGAGTCTGGCAGCTTTTCTCCCCTAGGGCAGTAGTTTCATATTTGGGGGGGGGTTCTGTTTTCCCTTTTATTATTTGTATAAATACCTTTGTTGGTGATTTGTTTATTTTTTAGATTTATTTATTTTATTTTATTATTATTATTATTTTAAACTTGCTACAGGGGGGTGGCAAGTGGAATAGTAGTTAAGGGCATTGGACTCCCACATGGCCAACCACTGTTTGACTCCTGGACCTGGCAGCTTGCTTTCGCTCTCTGTCTGTCCCTCTCTGGTCAAATTTAAATAAAACAAATAAATTAATAAAGTTAAATAAAATAATTCTTTAAAAAAATTTTTTTTTGGCTACAGGGCACAAGTGCTTACCAGAGAGAAAGAGAGAGAGAGAGAAAGTGAGAAAGTAAGCTGCCAGATCCAGGACTTGAACACCAGTCAGCCACGTGGGAGTCCAGTGCCTTAACCACTATATCACTTGCTGGCCCTATGATATCTTTTTTTTTTTTTTTTCAGATTAACTTTCCATTTTGCATAAAGTCTCTATTATCATGTATACAATATTTTTCTTCAACAGATAACTTTACATTTTTTTGCCATCTTTTTTTTTTTTTTTTCAGATTAACTTTCCATTTTGCATAAAGTCTCTATTATCATTTGTACAATATTTTTCTTCAACAGATAACTTGACATTTTTTGCTTGTTAAATGTTTCTTCCCTTTACACCTTGCACCCACTCTCTACCACCCACTTTACTCCCTTACGGTCTCTGGTATCTACACTTATCCCTCCTACTACCATATCTTCAGATCTGTACATTTCTACCACAGAGTGCAGACATTCACTACTTTTTTTTTTTTTTTGAGAGGTTTTTCGTTATATGGCGCCATGCCTCGCCAGACAGACACAGAGAGACAGAGAGAAAGCGAGAAATCACCCCTCCCCCCCAGGGAGGATGGCCCTTCTCCTCCATTCTCCTCTCGGGATCTTGGGCACGCACGCACACGCTCCCGGCGTGAGTTTGAAGCCGCCGGGTCCAGGATGCGAACCACAGTCGACTACGTGGGAGTCCAGCGACATAGTCATTACGCTAACTGATGGTTCCCATATTCACTACATATTGAGTGAGGCTATACAGTGTGTATCTTTCAAAGTCTGCCTCACTTCACTCAACATTGTCTTCCATATTCATCCACTTTGACTCAGAATATAGGATCTCATTATTTATTATGGCTGATAGTAGTCCATAGTATATACATGCTGCAATTTTTCTTTTTTCTTTTCCATAGAGAGATAGAGATAGTGAGAGAGAAAGTGAGAAATCACCCCCAGGAGGGATGGCCACTCTACAATTACTTCTCCTCCATCAGGCATGCAAACGTACATGCCCTGGCACGATTTTCAAGCCACCAGGTCTGGGACTTGAACCACAGTTGGCCACGTGGGAGTCCACTTGGAAGCCTTCACCACAATGTCACTTACTGGCCCCATGCCACAATTTTTAATCTAGTTATCAGTTTTTGGACTCATTATTATTATTATTAGAGAGGTTTTTGCTACAGGGTGCGTGCACTCTCCAGAAAGAGAGACAGAGAGACAAAAAGTGAGAAATTGTCCCCCAGGGATGATGGCCATGCTGCAGGCACACATGCCCTGTGTGAGTTTAAGCCACCAGGTCTGGGACTCGAACCATGGTCGACTACATGGGAGTCTAACGACACAGCCATTATGTCAACTGCTGGTCCCCAGTTTTTGGACTCTTAAGTAGAGTTTATTGTCTGTTTTCTATTTAAGACCAGAGAGGGATCTGATTACTATTGGTTCAACTCTTTATCTTTTTTCGTTTGTTTCAGAGAGATTTTTGCTATAGGGTGCATATGCTTGCTGAAGAGACACAGAGACAGAAAGCGAGAAATCATTCCCCAGGGGAGACGGCCATGGTGCAATCCTTTCTCCTCCTTTCTTCTCTCAGGATTTTGGGGCATGGTCAGAGCACAATCAGTTCCCCTCCATACTGTTGGCCTTTGGGGCACACATGTACTGCCTGGCCTGTTTTTCAAATGACCTGGCATGGTTTGGGATTTGAACCAAAGTCTGCCATACAGGGTCCAGCTCATTTAACAGGGAAGAGGAACATGAGAAAGCACCCCCCAGGGGTGCAGTCCCTCTGCTCCATTCTCTCCTTAGGATTTTGAGTATGTACACAGATGCTCTGGTGTGTTTCTTAAGCCACCGGGTCCAGGACTTGAATTGCAGAATTGGCCATTTGGGGGCAGCCTCCTTAACCACCAAGCCACCAGCTGGCCCGCTGTCAGCTAATTCTCATTACCTCTCTGTGAGGTTCTTCACGCATTGATTCTTTCCAAAG